AACACACACACACACACACACACACACACAGACACAGACACAGACACCGACCTTTGTACAAAATTCGTTGAAGAGTCCTACGCGCCGCTATCGTCTAGAGACAACCTTTGCATGTGGTCATAAACTCACTAGCCTTACAAATGAACCACATGCTCGTCTACATATGCACAGAACAATCTTTCCTTTCATCGTGGAAAAAGACGCGTGGAGCCCGGTGCGTCCTCTCCATCACTAACATTCGCCCCGCCAACAATCCCTCCTCTGCGCTATAACGAGTTATTGAACCCCTTATCCGACGGTGGCTGCCGAGCAGGGAGTGAAAGAAATACAGGTCGGAAGACTAATTAATCCAAAACAAACACAACACCCTATCAACTAATGATAAATCAGTGAACGATAAACAGACACAAAACGCCAGGCTAGCTAGTTCAGACCCAACGCGAACCAAATCCACATTTCACCCACACCCGCTCCTACACATTCACCCACTACTTTCCCCCGTGCACGCACCCTCTAAACTCGGCTGCTTCCAGGAGCCAATGCTTAAATACCGAAGAGGTGCTGGCTGAGGGCGCCAGAAATCCAGCAACTCGATTACTTGAGGAGAGAGAGGGGGGGGGGAGGGAGAGGAGACTTGCCGGGATCTCCACTCCTGAACTGAGCGGCTTCTCCATTGACAGAAAACGCCGTAGGAGAGTTGTGCGCGCGCGAGAGAGAGACAGACAGACAGACAGAGAACAAGGTGGTGATTGCAACATGCTGATTCACTGAGACATGGGGAGGGTGTTAATCCGCACCCGCCTGCCACAAGGACTCGGTCATTCGTAGAGGCCGTTTAGACAAGAAATCAGCAGGGGAACAGGAAGAGGAAGAATAGCAAGTGCTTTCCAGGACAGGCATCAGGCATTGTAAGTCCAGGACTCCAGGCTGCAGGATTAGATGGCCAGAAACTTCATCGCTCTGTCGCCGGCTAGCCGGCCAATCTGAAGATGTGAAGAGAACAGACTGAAGTAGCCTGAAAAAAATGTGCTTCCAAGGGCTCTCCCGTGTCTGCTCGATGCGACAGACAGCCGGGGAAGGTCGCGTGGTACGAGAGCAATCAGTGGCAGCTGGAGCCTGATGGGCAGACAACACAACATTTCGACAAGTGCAAGGTAGGCTTCTCAACAGCATAGAAAGGCTTGAGCGAGAGGTAGCTAGAGAAGAGAAGCCGGATGAAGAATACGCAGAGGTGCACAAGGAAGCAGAAGAGAGAGAAAAGAGAGAAGGGGGGGCAAGGGGCGGAGGGCGGGAGAGACAAAGGGAAGAGAGAGAAAGGAAAGCAAGGAGAAAGAGAGAGAGAGAGGACGAGGCGCCGGGCAACCGCTGTGCGCGAATACGCGAGGAAGGAGAGGAGAGAACGCCCTAATTTTTCTCAATCCGTTCCGTTAGGAACGCCACTCTCGCCGCCGTCTTTCTTCACGCGATAAATGCGCATTATTTATTCTTAGGAGGAATTTGACCTCCGTTCCGTTAGGAACGCCACTCTCGCCGTTCCGTTAGGAACGCCACTCTCGCCGTTCCGTTATGAACGCCACTCTCGCCGTTCCGTTAGGAACGCCACTTATCAACATTGAAACAGGAAAAATGAAAACGAATCGTAACTCCTCGAGCTCGTTCTAGCCTCCAGGAAGAAGAAATAAAACAAAAAGAACAAAAAGAAATGAGTCGACACTCATAGTTATCAATGCAAGCCGCCTTCGCAAGCGGCCAATCAGAAAGTAAGCGAAAGAGGGGACAATGGTCCCAAAAGGGGGCGAGGGGAGGAACCCGCAGATCAGACTTTCAAATCAACGGAGATGATTTGTGGACAAGTCCACACAACTTCCGGACATGCAGGAAACTGCCGACATTAAATGGCCAAGCTCATATCCATGCAGACGAGTCCTCCACACTCTCTGCAATAAGAGTGAATGGAAGCATGCCAGGTGTCACTCAGGCTGCCAGATTCTTCCACCTACCCGACAACGAAAAACAGGCAGAACAATCACAGCGCCATAGATAGAGAGAGCGAGGAGAAAGAGAGAGTGAGAGAGCGAGCGAGAGAGAGAGAACGAGCGAGGGAGAGAGAGAGAGAGAGAGAGAGTGAGAGAGAGAGAGTTTCCATGCTTTGGTAGCGCGCTGGACACCTGCCCTTTCACGCATGTAGACCCCTCCCCTCTGCTGAGCTCCTCCCCATTTCCTCTCCTCCTAGACCATCTCGAACGCAGCTGGAACGCAATCTCCCTCTCTACATTCCTTCTTATCCTTCTTCCCTCTCCACTATCGTAGGTCCCTTTCCCCCTGCAACCTCTCCCTCCCGTTGCAAGCATATTCATAGTGCCATTTCCCCTCCTCTCCTCTCCTCTGCCATTTCCCCTCCTCTCCTCTCCTCTCCTCTCTACTATCCCCTCTCTCAGAGCGCAATCACAATGGGTTTCCGACGTGACAGGTCCGCGGAACTGCTACATGAGAAAACAGGTTGTGGACAAGGTGGACAGACAGATTAAATCCAACGTCGCCCCTCGTCGCCGTGAGCACGACGACCCAGAGAGATTACTGCCATCACGAACCACATGGTGAATTGCTACAAGGAGCGGCAGGGATGCTCGCTCACCTCTCCCTACTTGCATTCCCTGCTCTGTCAACAAAACCACTAGGCACCATACCCCACACGGCTGCACAGCTTTGCTGCTTGAGAAAGAAGGTCGAGTGTCCTAACTGTGTGCGTACCAGAGAAACAAATTGGAGTCTTGTGAGCTACATTTATGGTTATCAATCATCGTCTTCCTCAAGGCCTGTCTTTCTCCTCTGCCCTTTCCGTATCCTCCTCCTCTCAGTGCTTCCTGGTACCTCATTGCCCACGATCATCCACCTTGACATCCATCAGCAGAGGAAGGACAACGAAATAGGTTAAAAGTCTAATAAGTAAAGAGGGCAATAGAGAGAGGTAGGTAGGTAGGTTATCGGCTGTCTCTAGAGCAGGCACGAGTGAAAGCTACATTTGTGGCTATCAACCATCGTCCTCCTCAAGACCTGTCTTTCTCCTCTCCCGCCTTCCGCATCCTCCTCCTCTCATTTCTTCCTGCTACCTCGTTGCTCCCCCCCCCCCCGATTGTCCACCTTGACATCCGCAGAGGAAGAAGAGATAGGGCAACGAACGACATAGATTACAAATCTAATACACTAAGTAAAGAGGGCGCCAGAGGTAGGTTCTCGGCGGTCACATGCCGGTACACCTCGCCCACTGAAAGTATCTACCTAAGCCGAAGGGAAGCGCATACTCGTCACACAGCGAGTCCATGACCTCCTTTGATTCGTGTCGGTGAGCCCACTGGTACACACCGCGGTCATCTTTGGAGCCTGGAACAGTGTTGTCCAGAAGCAGGGCAGCCGACAGTGCGACCAGCATTGGCATACCCAAGTAGGCATTCATGACGGAGCTGATGGCAGAGGACTCGAGTTGGATTGGCCGATCATACTGAGAGCCCTGAGAGGAGGTCTGCGTGACCCACTGAGGAATGGCGAAACCTGCGTACAGAGCTAGAGCCATAACGGTCATGTTCTTAGGATTGCTAACGTTGACGAACTTCAGGTTGAGGAGAGCGAAAGAGATGACCTGGACAAAGGCAATGCAGAGAAGGCCGCCAACGATAGGCTTAGGAATGATGGCCATGAGGCCGCCGACCTTGCCACAGAAGGAGATGATGACAAGGACACCGGCACCGAACTCCACAGCATGACGACTGCCGACTCGGGAGGCCCCCATGATGTAAACGTTTTCGGCGAGAGTGGTTGATCCCGCGCCTGTGCCAAAGAGCCCGGCGAGGAGGGTGCAAAAGCCTTCCACTAGGATGCCACGACTAACTACGCCCCGAGGAGGAGCATGGGTGGAGGAGAGACGCGAGGAGGCGTAGTAAGACGAGACGGAATCGAGAATCGAGACGAGAGTGCCTGCTAGCATCATGAAGATGTTATAAGGATGAAATGTGGGAGTGCCCCACTGCCAAGGATAAGGCGCGTCAATCCATTTGACAGAATCGAGGGTGGTAGAGTTGCTCGTGCCGCAGTAGGATTTCCTCAACCTCTGTTCGTTAGAGCACTTTCCGTCGTCGCAATTGTAATCGTACGTCCCAAGTAGGGTGAGTACCATGGCATACACCCAAACGATCACGAGACCGAAAGGCATCGCGTAGATCCGAAAGACGCGACTGCCTGCAAGTTCGACCTTCCTCAGATAAAGCATAAAGATGAGAACAACACCTATTTGGACTAGACCGACCTCGGAGCAGGCGGTGGCGGCGGGAAAACCGTACCTGAACCTTTCGAGCTCGGGAGAGGAGTCAGGCAACTCTGTAGGGGAGGGAGGAAGTAAGCCCGGGAAAGCCTTCGAGAGAGTTTTCCCGACGAAGGTGAGTCCAATGGTCGCCATGGTGGCAGACACCACGACCGGCGAGATGAAGCGTAGCAGGAGAGACAACAGGCCAGTGGCTCCTAGAATCATCTGCACGACGGACGACGCAATCACTCCGCCTTGAACGGCTCTCATCGTCTCTTCGAAGAGCTTGCCTTCTGCACCGGATTTCTTTTCATGGTGCGCCGCCACCAACAGAATCGGCATCAGATAGGCGAAGGACATGCCCTGAACGAGGGGCAAGCGCGATCCCAGCGTAGTCTGCAAAAGCGTCGAGATACCCGTCACCAGAAGGGTGGTGGAAATCACCTTAGCTAGGTCCTTCTCGTCGCCGCCCATGGCCGGAACGACAATGTGCGGCAAGAGAACCAGGGAGACGAACAGCGAGACGAAGTGCTGGATGCCGTACCAGAAACATGCGAGCACTGGCTTCGTGTCCGTCAGCATGAGCGACATTTGCCCCTCAGGCTTGCCCTGACCGGGTGCTGCTACTGCGCTACCGGCCCCAGCACCCGCTCCTGCCCCCGCTCCCTCTTCTGGTACGCTGCCGCCCAGGCTCGCCCCCGAGGCGGTGGGCGGCGCATTGGACGCGCGCCCGCGGCCAGGGACCCCGCTGGCATCGTGCGGAGACTCCGCCTCGAAGCTGTCGCTCCCGTATATGTGACCCTGGTAATCATCGTCGAAATAATCCTCGCCATCGCTACGCAGCGCTACCTGATTCGGGGCGACGTGAGAATGGGGGGGGGGGGCAGAAGCAGCAGGGTACCGCTCGCCCTCACCCGCCGCTACAAACGGCCGCTGCCCGGCGGACGGCGGCTTCCTCATCAGGGCTTCCATCATCATCATCTTCCGCGCCCTGCTATTCATCCCCACGCCGCCTCTCATCCCTTCATCTGTCGGGGTCGTGACCTCGCCTCCAATCCCGCCGCCGCCTCCGTCGCCGCCACCGTCGCCGCCGGCCCCCCGACCATCGTACGGCGACATCTGATATGCCGGCATGGGCGTCGTCCCCACCGCGCGGCTCCTGTCCTCCACCGCGATAGTAATGCGCCGGTCATCCACTACGGCATCACGGCTCGGACTGAGTTTCTCCGCTGGCAGCGCCCGAGCACCCGACGGGGAGCTAGAGGGAGTGGCGACATCCCTAGAAGAGGAAGGGTTGAGACGCTCGATGGGGGGCGGAGTGTTAGACTCGGCGGCACTTTCTCTGGGAGAGAAAGGCGAGTGAGCGGCCATAGAATCGGCAGTGCCCAAACCACCGAGAGTCATAGCGCTCCCTACACGAGGAGTTCCAGCACCAGAACCAGGAGGAGGGAGAGGGAAGTCAGGGACAACGGCCATCTCCCCGCTCCCACTTGGGCTGGATGTCGCCAAACTAGGAGGAGTTCTGCTGACGGACATAGACTTCGTCGACATTGGAGTGATGGGAATGTCTACCACCACGGCATTATCCGGACGGCGACCTCGATGCGGCCACGATCCAGGACGCCTTCCCATCTGAGCAGGGTCAAGCGAGGCTCTAATAGGAGGTGATTCCCGCGGAGGCCATGGACCAGGTCTACGTGGCGGATCGTCCGCCGCCTGAGCTCGCTGTGATGGATGTCTTAGCGGCACTCGAGGCAGAGGTTGTGGCCAGTTCGTCCTATCCATCCTCCTCCTTCCTCCCTCCTACCTCCTCCCTCCCCCCTCCACCCTCCTCCTCCTCCTCCTCCTCCTCCTCCTCCACCTTTCGCTTCTCTGTACTGTCTAGTCGCCTGCCTCCTCTTTCTTCGTCAGTCTGTCGCGAGGGCCCGCACGTCACCTCTAGCGTTATCCTCACCCCCACACATCAACTCCGCGCCCCGACGCTCCCCCAGATTTCTTACGCCCTCGTCCCACCCACCTCCTCTCTCTCTCTCTCTCTCTCTCTCTCTCTCTCTCTCTCTCTCTCTCTCTCTCTCTCTCTCTCTCTCTCTGTGTGTGCACTCGGGATATCTCTCTCCTCCGTTCTCTTCAACTCTCCTGTCGTCTCGGGTTGCGCAGCTGGCAAACCGAATAGGAGATCATCACCGTTTAGGGTACCGCACCCCTCCTCCGTCTCCACCTCCGTCTACAGCTCCGTCTCCATCTCCGTCACCGCCTCCACACGGGCGGTCCTGGGCGCACGATCGTCTCGGACGTAAGGGCGAACTTTTCGGACGCCCGTTACAACGGTCGGCAAGGGGCGCACCGGACCGGACTAGAAGGTACGGGCCCCAACCCTCCAACCCGGCCTCTCGGACACTATACGTCGACGGTCAGGTCAGGTCCCGTTCGGTTCCCGTCCGGTTTTTGCTCCCCCCTGCAATACGCTGACCTGACCTGCAACCGCTCAGTTCGAACCCCGATCTGGGACTACTATTACACTTGTCGCCCGAATAAATCGCCCAACTATTCTTCTGACTGACTGTATTGAATGCCAGCTGAGCACACGCAAAATCGTCACATGCGCTCTGACCCTGTGTGTGAGGTTCATCCCCCTCCAACTCCTCTCTGTTCTGCTTTATATATATTTCCTCTACCTGCTCTGCCTACTGTGTTACCCCGCTGACTGATCGGTGATCTGCTATTGCTTGCAGACAGACTCTGCAGGGCGGCCAGACCTTGGCCACATCATCATACCCCGCCGGATCTGTGTAGTATATATAAACCGAACGGCTGATGAAAATGGATGTGTCAAGGCAACCACTGGTCCGTCATCTGTTCTTCTTTTTGGCCTTTTTTTTCTCTAAAGCGAACAGCCCTACACCTTGCGCCGTCGGGTTTCGAACCGAGGATCTCCTAATTGACGAACATTCCCTAAGAGGCGGTTACCCCGCCTTTTCGACTACACTTTTCAACTTCGCAATTCAAAAAATCAAAAAGAGAGAAGTGGATTTCGTATATTCTTACCGTGTCAACCTGTCAGTCGACAATCAGTGGAGCGACTCCCCACCCGACTCGTCTCCCGATATCCTGCAACGGACCCTAAGCGGTTTGTCTTGCACTCCAGAACCAGAAACGCGCTCGTCCTGTTCCTGTTTCTTCCCCTCGTTGGACTCCAGAGTTGACGCGACGCTACTTTTTGTTGTTTCTCTGCTGAGAAGTTCAGAGGCGACAACAATCGCTTGCAACGTTTCACGTACGTACGGCGCAGCGTTTCATCTCTTTTATTTTATTTTATTATTATTTTATTATTTTATTTTTTTGGGAAGGCAGCGTTTCCTACGCGTACGTGACGGAGGTTAAGGGCCTATGGTAGCTGCACGCCAGCATTTTGAATGCATCTGGATAATGTCGAGTCCAAATGCTGGCGGGTAGTGCAACTAGGCCCTGTGTCAGGCTGTGTGTGTACGGACCGACTACCCAGCCAAGAGTTTTTTTTTCTTTTTCTTTTCAGGAAACAACCCGGGGCCCAGCTTCGGTTTAACAGCGCTCTAAGTTTGCGCCTTCGAGGGAGGGGCGCGTCGGTTGGCGCAGTTTTAGCGCTCTAAGTTTGCGCCTTCGGCCGGACTGGCCGAACCGGCCTCACGGGTCTTCACCGCCATGATGAGAACCACGTGTGGAGAGTGTCGTCTCGCTCGGTAATTTCCGAGCAAACCTCCCGGCAGGAGAGGGAGACTGTCAGTCTAGGTCGGCCCGGGTGATTCACTTTACTGTTGTGTGCGGGATGTTCGTGGTGTTGGGCGCTCGCCAGTAGGCGACCGCCTCTCAGAAGTGTCATATGCATCATATGTAAGTAGTTACGTGAAGGAGCAGAGGGCGTAAGTAGAACGGAGTAGAAGCTTAGCCTTAATTGCATCGAGGAGGCGAAGGATGGCTACGTCAGGGGCAATTGCTGGTTCAAGTGGACGGAGAATTGACAGGTYGCCACCAACAGGGTCGGAAGTGCCAGAGTCTGAAGACCAAAGGATGAAGCAGCTCATTGCAAAGTGCTATGAGGACGGCATCTTCCCGACGGAACTGAGACAAGGCAAATTCATTACGGAGAACGGAGAGCGCATATTCGTGGTGGATGACCGAATTGGTGAGCTAACTACTAAGTGGCTCAAGGAGCGCACTGTAACGATAATCTTCCAGGGTGAGGCTCGCTCTCTACCAGCCAAGATAAGGGAGGATCTCGTTCGAGCCTACGAAAACGGATGGACGAGATCGAGGACATTCTCAAGGCAAGTCAAACGAGGGAGAGTGCACTCGGAGGGTCCTAACGTTATGTCATATGTCGCCATGCAGCAGGAGGTGGCAGATTGGATGATTCGGAAAGCGGAAGACAAAGTTATTATTAGAGGAATTGAATACAAAATGCTATTTAAACCATGGCTGACGCGCCGAGAACTGGAAGAAAGAAGAAGAATGGAAGATGCTTCCAAATTCTGGGTGATGGCTTTACGTGTCCCTCTGCGTGCTATGTTACCAGTAACGGGTATGGTGCAACAGGCCATGGGTAGAATCATGAACGTGATTCCCCCACAACCGGATGCAACCAGACCGAAACTGATGAATTTAAAATTCAAACTGGTTCCGGAGGCAGAAAGTGCTTTTGTCTCGCTCTTACCTCTACGCCTGGAAGACGGTGAAACGATTAATATAGACTTTGTCTGTAAACATACGGCATGGTGTGATCGTTGCCGCTGGTGGTTTCATACGGCGACAGATGGCTGCCTGAAGCTTACACAGCAGGAAGACGAGCAGGGACGAAGAGCACCATCATCGGACCATTATTTGGCAAGAATGTGGCAGGAACCAAGCGTAGCAGCACAGGGAGGAATACGAGAGGCGGCACGAAACTTACCAATCGAGATAACTCTAGACGCCGTAGCCGAATCGTCCTTGAGAGGGGGCAGAGGTGGAGGTCAACGCAGAAGGTCATCTCCGGCCATTTCAGCGGCGACAGGACAGCCAGTGTTCGGCAACCAATCACAGTCCGCAGTCCCTTTCCAGGCGCAATACACCTCAGGAGGACTTCATCCACCAGCTCACCAGGCAACACCATCTAATTGGGGAGCGTCAGGATTTATGCCCCTGGGAAATCTACAGCTGCCACGGTCACAATCAGGACAAGATGCAAGAGGTGATCCGCAAGGTTCATTTATTCCAGGAGCCGCAGATTTCCCGTCTGGACATGGGGAATACCCATGGCATCCTGTCATAGTCGAAGCAGCGGGGATCTTGGCCGCAAGGATGGGTCAAAACACCCTTGTTGGTCAGCCTCAGCAACAGTATCTAGGGGGGAATGGTTTTGCCACAGGAATGTCGTCGGGAGTGTCAGCGTCAAGGGAACTGACGACAGTTTTTGAAGACGGTCACGGAGGAGCCCAGAGCGGTGGATCTCGACTTGTTGATCGGAGGGTGCGGCTTCCTAGAGGAGACGGGATTAAAAAAAACGAGAGATCGGCGTGCTCTGAAGAAGTTCGCAGCCTGAAGCCCCGACCACAACAAGAGAGAGTAGAGTCAAGCGACTCGGAGGAGGAATCGGATGCAGGCAACGGAGGGGGTATAGAAGACGAAGAAGTAAGATCGCTGGTAGATATTCACGAAGGAGCTGATGCAAGGGCAAGGGACGTTGTTGACATGGAGACGAACTATCTTTTGCCACTGGTTTGTACGCTTCAAAGGGGTGAAATTTTTGTAGTAGGTCTCAGATCAGTTGAGAACCAATTGAACCTTCCTGTTAGCAGTATCTCCGAACTTCCCTCATGCTCTTCTGTAGTAGAGAGGGTGTCGAGCTTGTTTGCTCAGAGATTCATGTTTCGGATTTTTCCAGAGGATTCCTTAACCAGGTTGAGAGTGGATCTGCCCCAAGGAGGGAGTATCAAGTACTCTGTGGCCTTAATTGACGCTCGCTTGGAACCGGATCAATGGCAAGGGTTGTGCAACGTAGGTTTATTTGCAATCCCGTTGAGGATTCTATTGGCGGATCATCAGAAGGAGCTAGAGCAAGTGAGTATAGAACCCAATCAGACGGCTTCCTTCTTACTGAATCTGAACGGGGCAATGCTAAGGAGAAGGAATTTGACGTCAGCCTACTTTGCGGAGGTTCTCAGCACCAGATGGCCTGATGCACTCTTCAATCAAGGACAAATCCGATCTGTCGGTGTCCAACAGCCAGGACTAAATGGGGAAGCTTAACATAGCTTCGTGGAATGTTCAGGGGCTAGGTGATACTGGAGGTAAACACAAGGGGAGGAGGCTGAAATCGTGGATGCACGAGAAAAAGATAGACATTATGTTTGTTCAAGAAACGAACCTTTCAGAGGATAAGTTGTCTAATCTGACTGATTGGTGGAGGGGTCCTCAGCTATGACCGTCAGCGCGAGGTAGTAAGGGCGGCGTAGCGATCCTTATCAATGAGAGTTTGGAAGCTTCGTTAATTGACTGCGATAATGATCTTTGGGGAAGGTGGTGCTGGGTTAAGTTGGGGATTGGGTCAGAGGATTGGGTCTTTGCCACAGTGTACGCGCCTAATGACCCTCTCGATAGGATAGAATTTGTGGAGTTGTTGTCAAGAATAGTTCCTAATTCTGATCATCTGGTCATTGGGGGAGACTGGAACATGGTCTGTGACCCCTCCATTGACTCAGAAAAAGACGATCGAGGTAGAAGGGACAGGAGGACCTTATTCCACTGGATGGAGAGCTGGGCACTTCATGACCCCTTCAGGGAAATCCACCCGAACAAGCCAGGTTTTGCCTGGTTTGGCAATTCCTCTCAGTTGGCAGGGGTTAAAAGAAGACTGGACTTCTTCTTAATCTCAGAAGGGTTGGTTAGCGAGGTGTTGAAAGCAGAGTTGCATGGTGCTTCACTATCAGATCACAAACCAGTGTCACTAGTAATCAAGACAAGTGAGGTAAGTGAGAGGGGCCCAGGCTGTTTTCGCCTGAACACGGCCTTGTTGGAAGACGAGGGCATTATGGACTGGGTCAGGACTTTCTGGAAGGACTGGGAAAAGGCTAAAAACGTTATGGGTACTCAAGCAGACTAGGTGGAAACATGACTTCGAATTATCTCTAACAGGCTTGAGACATGCTCAAGGATAGCAGCCTTCTTACGAAACCGTGAGGAAAAGGAGTGTGCTCGAAGAGTACAAGAGGCTGAAGACAGAATGTCGGAACATCCCATCTCAGAGCTTGCTTGGGCGGAAGAAAGACAGGAACGACTGAAGGAATGGGAGAGGTGGCAAGTCGAGAAACATGACCGTTGGGAGCAGGTTCTCAGTGAAAAGAACATCGTTTGCAGGGACAGAATGACAAAAGAAAGTTTTCAGTTACTGCTACCAAAACGGAAAGCGGTAAAGATGCGGGAATTAAAACACCCACATATGCTGGCTCTCCCTGCAGCAGCGGATAATCCGAGGATGTGCTCATATGCAGCGGATTATTTCTCTGAGATCCTGACAACGAAGGCCCCGTATGACGATCTAGATACAGACTTAACTTCTTACTCAGATCTATGGGCAAGGATGGAGGTAGGGCTGTCGTCAGAAGGCAAATTGCAACTGGATAAACCATTCACAGCAGAGGAATTGACCAAGACGCTCAAGTCTACAGCCAAGGGGAAAGCACCGGGTGATGATGGATTGCCAAGGGAGTTCTTTGAAGCCTGTTGGGATCTGCTGGTACACGATCTAGTGGGGGTGTTTAACTCAGTCGCGGAAGGAGAGAAACTGGGAAACTCAATGGCAAGAGGAGTGATCAACCTACTTTATAAGAAAGGGGATAGGGATGAGATACGCAACTGGAGGCCTATCTCCCTGTTGAATTTCTCATACAAACTGTTGGCTAAATCTCTCGCCAATCGTTTGGCACCTTATCTACCTACGCTGGTGGGGTTAGATCAGGGGGCTTTTGTCAGAGGGCGATCCATCTTTGAGAACCTAGCTACAGCAATCGAAGCCATGGAAGTGATAGAGGAGCAGAATCTAGATATAGTAGTGCTAATGCTGGACCTCGAAAAGGCGTACGACATGGTTAATTGGTCGTTCGTACTGACGACGCTGAGAGCAATGCACTTCGGAGATAGATTCTGCAGTATGGTCAAAGCTCTGTACTTCGGTGCAACTGCGGTAGTCCAGGTAAACGGGCACCGCTAAGAAGAAATGACTCTTACGAGGTCTCTCAGGCAAGGTTGTCCGTTGGCACCTCTGTTATTCGTTCTGCAAATGGAAATGCTCCTCAGCAACATCAGAAGGCATCCCCTGCTGGAAGGACTGAGACTACGGTCTGGAAAAGAGTGCAGAGTCAAAGCTCTGGCGGATGACCTACTGGCCTTCTCAGTCAACAACAAGATCTCCCTGGTAACTCTGAAGAAATGTCTGGCCAGGTATGTGGAATTGTCGGAAGCAGCTGTAAACTGGAACAAGTCCATATTCTTCCTATCCAGTTCATATACACTGAAGGTGGAATACGGAATGAGGAGGATCCCTGCTGGAGAAGCAGAGCGTTATCTGGGAGTACAATTGGCACTGGGGAACTGTTCTGCGTCTCAGAGTGGGATACTGCAGGAGAAAGTGACGGGAAGGATTAGGAAGTGGGGGAAGGCAAAACATCTGTCTCTAGTAAGCAGGGGGTCCTAGCAGTGACTGTTTCTTCCTTCTCGATCTTATGGTATGTGGTGAGGCTGAGAAAGCTGGAGAAAGGTCTGCTACAAACTGCTAAGGCGGAAGCCCGGAGGTTCATCTGGAAACCAGGCTCACAGACGAACAAAGGCTTTATCAACAAGGTGGCGTGGGGGACTCTGTGCAAACCCAAGGAGGAAGGAGGTCTGGCTCTTGTAGATCCAGAATCACAAAACCTGTTGTTGCTGGCCAAATGGCTAGTAAAGGTAGCCACCTCCGACCAAGAATCTGATTGGCTGTTTCTGGCGGAAGAGATTCTATGTGAACAGTGGGGCCTAAGCCGCCCCTCAGATGTCTGGGTTGCGATAATGATACAGTCGTTCCTGAACAAATGCCAGAAGTCGCAGTTTTGGAAGGACATTCTGATGGGCTGGAAGCAATGTAAACCGGGCATGCATGCCGAGCCGCAATCTAAAGCAGAAGTCCTACGTCAGCACCTGTTCGAAAACCCAGGGATCCGAAACCGAGAAGGGGAGATGTTTTATGCTAACACTAAGCCAGAATCCTACAGGATGAAGTGGATCAGAAAAGGGGTGTCCAAGGTGGGGGATCTTTGGGAGGACTCACAAGGGCAATGGGTTACGCGGGCAAAGCTGAAGGAAAAACTGGGTAAACTGCAGCGGCAAGAGGAATGGATGGACCAGTTGATAGAAGCCATCACAACACATTGGAAGGCGCTTCTAACCTCCGAAGTTATCCCCAAAGTCGGAACGTGGTTTCAGGACCCAGAAGATGAAGACGGTTTTTTCAGACTGGAAGGGTGGCACGAGGATACGCCAGGCAAATGCAATCTCCGCAGATTCAAGAGGAAATATAAAAGTCTTTCGATCTTGGTCCAGGGGGAACTTTCAGCTAGACTTGGAGTCTCAGGGCTGAAGGAATGCAAAGTAACCAGCCAGAGAAGTACAAAACTTCCGGATCTGGTTCAATTCGATCTGATCGCAGGAGGCACGAGCACGGATGTTCTCAAGCTTGACCAAACAGGCTGGGGGTGGAAACATGACCAAGGGGTAACATGGAACCTAGCGAATCTTTAGAAAGTTGTAAGGAAGAAGAAAGACAAGAAGAGCAAGAAAGTGACTGAGGAGGTGTGTACCCGATGGGAGGAAGCGTTACCGCATATTGCACCTCCCACAGAGAAAGAGTTTGAGAAGTTCTGGTCTCAACTGCCTCAGATCCCCTCCCAAAAGTTGGCGTCTCTTCTATGGCTACATTCACATCAAGCAGTTCCAGTAGCGCGATGGTTGCGAAAGAGAGGGATGTCAGTGAAGGAAGAGTGTGAGAGATGTAACTGAATTTTTGAGACCCTGCATCATTTTTGGAGGGCATGCCCCAAATCAGCCAGATGGTGGGAGTGGTGGTTTCAGAAGTGGGCCGAGATTGTGGATAGGCCGGATCTGACAGGGGAAAGATGGGTGCTGCTGGGTTTACTCCCGGACAACACACCAGGTGATAAAGGATGGGGCTATATCGCCCAAGTCACCCGGGCAGTGATGATGTGGGTAATCTGGTCTGACAGGAATGATCAGCGGTTCCAAGGTAAGACTATGTCTGACACCCGAGCGGCAAGACTCTTCAAGGCTCTACTCAGGAATGAGATTAGAGCAGACTGGAGGCGGAAAACAGGATGTGGCAGGAATGTAGGTGGACTGAGGTGGTTTCGGAGTACTTGGGCTCATTCGAGTCATTTTGCTAGGATCTCATCAACAGGTAAGCTTCAGTTGGCAGATTGGCTGACGAGGGAGGCTAACTTGTAGTAGTAGTAGGGGGTTAGTAGGATTTAGGCTCATGGATAGAGATTTTGGTTTGTGTGGTGTTGAAGCCTTGTGGAGATTTCTTCTGAACCAGGGCACTCGGTTTCTGTGGGCAGTCACAGTAGACTGCAGTGGGTTGGAGGGTGGGAGAGTGCCAAGGTACTATAAGGAACAAGTGTTCCTCCCGGTCGAGTATAGGTCGGGTCTGGCCCATGCTAGGCCAGTGTAGCTGTAGGTGGGATAGGGTAGTAGGTGAGGGAGGTTAGAATAGATCTAGGTTATGCAGTCGCGAACATTGGTGTGTTTTGATGTGTGTTGAGCTTAGAGTGGATGATAGTGGTTGGGGTGAATTCGGTGATTGGAACGTGAGGAAGGTCTGTTTGAACAGTTTAAGCTAAACCGGCTAATGCTGCCGGGATAACCCCGGGTTGAATTGTGAGGTCCCCGGCCTCGGCTATATTGTTTTGAGAATGAAAAAAAAAAAAAAAAAAAAAAAAAAAAAAGCAGTTTCCTTTGGTTTAAAAAAAAAAAAAAAAAAAAACTTCGGTTTAACCAAAATAGGCGTCTCAGCTTAGGCTACGCATGAGTGACCTCGAACCCTCTGCTCTTCAAGACTATGGGTCTCGTTAGACACTTCCCAAAGAATCCTGAAATTTTTAGGACCAGTCCTAAAGGATTTTTAGGATTTCGTGCGGCGTCGTTACACGCAATCCTAAAAATCATCTTTTAGGATTTGTCCTAAAAGGTCTCATGCGGCCGGTTTTCATATATACGCAGCCGCGTCGCCAATGTTCGTCCATTCTTGGCTGGTGTCCGTGGTACACACTGCGGTGGGCCGGCGGCAGGTGAGGACGGGTCGGTGAAAATCGCGGTTAACCAGAAGTTCGAAAATTCAAATTCAATTTTTTGCGGACGCAGGGTGGCGGGGCGGAGGACAGCCAGGCGACGCGTGTGACGTAGAAAAGACGGCGCTGGTGAACCCCTCGGCGTGGGTATCCATCTTCCGAGTCTGCACGAGTTGTGACCAGCAGGCGCATCTTCGGCGGCGACGCATCTTCACCTCCGACGTGCGTACTCTCCTGTGGAAGCGTAGAGCAGCGGGCGCATCTTCGGCTCTGGCGTGCGTACTCTCCTGTGGCAGCGTAGAGCAGCGGGCGCATCTTCGGCTCCGGCGTGCGTGGTCGCCTGCGGCAGGGTTGAGCAGGGGGCGCATCTTCGACGGTTGTGGCAGGCGTTGCGCTGTAGAGGCGGAACGATTATCAGAGATGGACGTTCGCGGCTGCAGGCACGGTCTATGTAAAGAAGAGATCGACGAGGTGGTGATGGCGGTGACTGTTGTCGTCCTGGACACAATGAGTGACATGTCGTCCTCCTCCCGCGACATGCGTGTGCAGCTCCGTAAACGAAGAGCGTTGTTGCAGAGCATTATCGAAGCGCCTGATTGCGTGGCGACGTGTGAAGCAGTCGTGCAGTTATGTTTCGCGCTGTCGTCTGGCATTTTCCCACGGCAGACCCCGCGTTGGTGGATTAAACGATGGACTGGCGGAACATGGGAGGACCTCCGACTTCGTGATGACGCCATTGAGGACTACTACCGCCAGAAGTTGCACATGTCGAGGGCCACGTTCACCCAGATCGTAGCCGCGTGCGCCGCGTACGTGGAGAAGAAGTTTACACACTACAGGATGCCATTGCCAGTGGAGTAGGTGATTGCTTTCGCGTTGTACAGGTTGGCGTCTGGAGAGATGTACGATAGTGGCACGTCAGCCTTCGGCATATGCAGGGCAACTGGGCTGCAGGTTGTCCCCGACGTCACTTCGGCGCTGCTCAAGGCGTACCCTTACGCGATCAAGTGGCCAGTGGGCCGGAGACGTGCGCAAATTTTGCGCGCTTTCCGTGAGAAGGGTTTCCCAAACTGCTTCGGCGCAATCGACTGTACACACATCTACATTGACAAGCCCGTCGGCGCACCTTCGGACAACTACTACGACCGGAAACAGAAGTTCTTCGTCCAAGCGCAGTTGGTGGTGGATTTGGATCTACGTATCCTTGACGTCCACGCGGGATACCTGGGAAGTGTGCACGACGTCCGTGTCCTGCACAATTCCCATTTGTGGAGGCATGCAGAAAGTGGCGAGCTGTTCGACGCACCTCCGGAGAATCTGCCGCATGATGTTGTCACGCGAGGTTACCTGCTAGGCAACAACGGTTATCCAGTTGCCTGTCCATGGATCATCCAGCCGTACAGAGGAATCGATCAACGTCCTGACGAGGTGCGTTCCGACACTCGGCAAAGGTGGTGCGAGGGTGTGTGGAGAGGTCGTTCGGGCGACTGAAGTGCATGTGGCGCCTGTTTTTGCGCACCCACAAGACGAACCTGGAGACCTTGCCACAACAATTCGTGGCCGTGTGCACTTTCCACAATATCCTCCTAGACGCGGGGATCGACTTCGACGAGAACCTTCTGTAGGAGGTCGATGTGAACGACGTTCGGCGTAGAGTAGACTTGGGCATTGTGGGGCACGACGGGGGGGGGCGGCAACGAAGCACGAACATGGATGGGGACTTGTTGCGGGATGCTCTCCGGGACCCCCTAGCTTTGATGTAAGATCGCGCGGACCGAATTTCAAGGAGGACGTGGGGGGGGAGGGTAGGTGTGGTAGGGTGATCGGCAAGCGGGTTCGATTGTAACGTGGTCCATGTAGAGTAGTAATTGGTACGTCAAGTGCTTTTGAAGCTCTCGGATCATCCCCCCCCCCCCCCCCCCCGGGGTGTGTAGGTTGTCCTCCGCCAGTCCGTAGTCGTCGTGCGCGAAGTTGCCAGGTCGCCTGTTTCACCGCATGGTTTTCGTCAATCTGTGTGTGTTGTATTCGTCGTGTAGACGGTCGACTGAGTCATAGTGTCGTGCATTTGGTGTCGTTCGTACAATTGTGCGAACGTTGAATATTGAAAAAACCTTTTTTTTTTCTATAATTCGTTGGTCATGAATGCTTTGGTGTGGTGGGATAACTTGTATACCTTCGCTCCCCGTGGTACATGCGCAGATTGGCAAACAATGATCGCAAAAAAGTGAATCCAAATCGTTGTTGCGGTTGCTTGCCCCTACTCGGGGCGAAATGGCCTTTCTGTTGTTCATTTTGAAAAGTGATCTATGGTGAAAGGCATCCTCATTTCACACTTTTTGCCTTGCTATATGGGTGTGCTGCCGTGTGCATACATGCAAAACATTTTAAATATTTCGCTCATCCAGTGTGTGACGTTCATATATGAAATCTTGGCATGCATTCACATCAAGTGATGTTCAACAAACCAAATGATCTCACATGTCATGTTCGTTTCATCGTCTCGTCGATGTCAACAACACCAAAAACACAGAAGCAAAATCAATGTGACGCATCACAATTGTGTCCCACACCAATGATGACAAAATCGTTTAATGTGGATTGACGATTACAGGCTTTGCAAACTCATCGCAAAACAACGTGAAGAGATCGACCCTTCGCTTTGAAATCCGAAAACACAAACACTAACATGCCTGCGGGTACAAACGTTTCCCCGTTCGTACTTTCCCCAACATGTACCGTTCGAGCTACCCCGAAAAAGATAGGGAAAAAAACATAAGAATTTTTTTTTACCAAAAACTAACTTAACAATGACACGATTTGGGCCACCTTGCCGAGCACGTTCACACCGACGACCACTGCCGCACTCGCAAGAAAAACTAATTGGAGAACAAAGGTCGCTCGTGCAAAGTGATGGCAGGCGAGAGCACGGCCTCTGCCAGTGGCGGTATCGTCGCCACGTGAACGACGCCATCATGGATCGACTACTGCGTCATCATCTTCGTCATCATCGTCATGATTATGGCGGTTAGCTTCACCATCGTTCTCGCGATGACCATCATCATCATCATCATCGTCATCATCATCATCATCATCATCGTCTTCATCATCATCATCATCATCATCATCATCATCATCATCATCATCATCATCATCATCATCRGCATCATCATCATCATCATCATCACCACCATCATCACCATCATCATCATCATCATGATCACCATCATAATCATCATCATCATCGTCATCATCATCATCATCATCATCAGCAACATCAGCATCAGCATCAGCAGCAGCAGCATCAGCATCAGCATTAGCGGCAGTAGCATCATCGTCGTTGTCAGCGCAGGTGGCATCATCGTCTACGTTTCATCCCCGCGGACGTACGCCTTCATCATCGTCGTCGCCACCATGCCCTGTCGTGCGCCGGACTGCATCCCGACCGTCCTCGCCATTCCCAGATTGTGGTAATATCGTCTTTCTTGGACGCCCGCCGCGGTCGCCACACCTCGCAGAACCACTCTCCGCATGGCGGCATCATCAGGAGATCCTTTTCTTCGGCATCGTCAACGTTTCCACGTTCGAAGCAGCATCATCGTCATCACGACGTCATCATGACGGCCGTCGACGCAAATAACTTCAGACCACGAATGCCGGCATATGCAGCGCGGACGGCTGATCAATCGCACCGATTTCCCTGCCCGACTCATCTCGTGGACACGCCATCAACGTTTGGTCTACTAGTGTGCTCATTATAAGAAGAATTCATCAAGGAAATAAGAGAAACAAAAAATCTGAACTACAAACGCAAGGAGTGAACTTCAATCAACACTCGATCGAACGACCTACATTGTCGACCGACCACGGATGGCTGCAGCGATCTCCATAAACGCGTGGCACATCATCCTCTGCGTATCATCGGACACCACGTAGTGCGATTTTCTGTGTAACCGGTTGAACGCACTGAACGTGCATTCGTGTTCTAACGCGCTCGTTCATACCCCCCGTGGCCACGTTCAATCGCGTTCAAACGCGTTGCGCGCCACGTGGCGCGTAAAAATTGAACGCGACCTCGCATCCCGCACGTGCGTGTCGCGGACTACGGGGTGGTGACACTCGTTCAACAAACCCCAAAAGTGAAAAAAAAAGTCTCCCCGGAGTACCACCACCCCCGCCACAAGTA